TGTTGATTTTAATAAGATGACAAAAGGTCACAGAGTTGATAGATATAAAGTGCTTGCCTAATTCTTCCTTATTATAGTGAGTTATGAATAGATTAATTTGATATTTCAAAATGTAACAATCATTAGAAAAGTGTTTTCATATAAATTATAGTTTTACATATTGATGTCATGCTTTCTTTAGCATCCAAAAATGCTGTTCTTTACTCACCATGAGGAGAAAGTATTTGATCTAAGTTTATAGAACTGGGGATTGGTTGGGGTTGAGTTCCTCTGACTTTAACCTGGCCTCTTACCTGGTTTCCCAACGTACCATCTAATCTCTACTAATTTGTGTGTTAGCATATGATTTGGAGAGGGCCAAAGAGTGGGCTCTAATTGTGATTGGGGTAGAGAGCTTCCTGCCAAAATGAAATCTGATCTGTGGTCACAGGCCAGCTTAATTTACTCTGAATCGCCCTGTTGGTAACCATGGACAAGTTGCTTAACATCTTTTTTCCTTAGTTCCATCATCTGCAAAGTAAATATAATATTAGTACTTACCTGATAGGGTTGTTTTGAGGATTAAATAAGATAATTTATGAATAAATTAATCCATCTACAAGCTTTAGCACAGCGTTCACCATGTAGTGAGGGCTCAGTAAGTGTTAACAGCTGTCGCTGCCACAGCCACTACCACCACCACCCTTGCCTCTACAATAATAATGATGTGACAAAACCATTGCAGAATGGTTAAAGAATTTGGTATCCTGTCTCATAAAGTATTCCAGATCTCTGAAGGGTGGGCTGAGAACTTTCTTGATTTCAAACCCCATTTTTAAAATCTTTCGAAGGTGTCCGTGTCCACGTTGCCTGAATTACTATGGAAGATCTGGGATCATCTTAAATCCTGTTGCATGGAGGCTTTTTAAAGTCCATACAAGGATTATTCATACCCTCCCCCCGCCTTTTTTACCATTATCCAAATGGTAACAAAGCTGTGCAAGATATAGGAAACTGGGCTGAGTGTCATTTGAATATAAAAGAGCCCTTGAAGATCTTTGTAATTTTGATTGTGGTGGCTTTTATTTTTTTCTCCACTAAAAGCAGAGTATATTAAACTTTCTCAGTTTGTCTCAAATAATCAGAATTTTACAAGAACCTTTCCTTGTCTCTAAATAAACCAGACTGTTATATAGAGAGATTTATCTAGGTGCCATGCATATTCAAGCAAGTAGGGAGAAGGGAATAGAACTAGGTTGATTGAATTCTTTTTCTTTTGAAAATTGACCAGTTGTATGGCTGCTCTGGAGACTAAATTAATACAGGTAAATTTCCTAAGTAGCACATTGATAGCTCAGGTGGGAATAGCGAACCTGGATGTGTAATCTGGAAATTTTCAATAAGTTACAGACCAGTGTGTGAGTAAGACTTTGCAGCGATAAAAATGGGAGGCAAAGAGCCATAGAGGCTTTTGTCTGATGAATTCTCAAAAATGGAATGATGAGTGGTTCAGAAAATCTCTTGTGTGAATGTGGAGGGCTAGACACCAGTGGTCTCTTATGATCCCTTTTACCTCCAGTACCTTGGAGTTCTAGAATACCTTATTCCAGCATTATTTCTTCTTTAGATATATTTCTTAGAATCTTCCTTCCTTCTTCCTTTTATATCCTTCCTCCATGAAATACTTATTTAGTGCATACTAAAAGCCTAGGCACTATGTTAGGCATTGGGGTGCAGCATAATTAATACAGACACTGCCCCTATTCTCATGGAGTTGACAATTTATGATGTTCTAGGAGGTACTTGATCTGGTTTTTGGCGAGAGATAGCTCCTTAGTTGTGTTTTAAGCTCTGTGTTATATACAACTCCTTATATGTGAGTTTTCTCCCTTTTCTTCAACTTGTAGGATGTACGACCTTAGACAAAAGGATGATTTTTCGACTGCAGCTGATCAGGTTGAGGTGGCAGAGAAGTAGGACTAGGGTAGGACCAGAGGTACTGACTTCTTGCCTCTGACATAGCCTCATAACCAGCTCATGGCATCGCCTGCTCGCTATGCTCCCCCAAATTATAGAAGAGGCAAGGTGTGTATAACTAAAACTAAGCAAACAAAGAAACAGAATCACAAAGAAGAACAAAACATCAAACAAAACAAAAAACAAAAAGAAAATAAACACACAAAACTCTTCTTTGTTGTTGGCCCCATAAAAGGTATCTTCCTTTGGCTTTGAAGAGCTCATTTTTCCTTAGTCAACTGATCTGGGGTTGAGGCTGCAGCATTAACACCTAATAAACAAGTAAGATAGTCAATCCACTTGCTTTGTCTAAAAGAGAAATTAGGGCTAAGCTACTGATTCCCACCAAAAACCCTCTCCCTTGCAAAAGAAAATTACTCATCTTGGCATCAGTTACTGACACTGGCTCAGATGGCCCCAGGGTACCATCAGTCTCCCAGAAGTTTGTGAAATACCCTCTTGAAGGTACTCAAGAGGTAAAGCCAGGGGTTCTGTGAATGTGGGCTGGAAATCAGGGCTCAGGATTCTGGGGCTCATCATGCTGGAGCCACGGGGCAGGACTTGGGAGCTTCAGGCCATTATGCTGAGGAAAAATAAAACCTATGACAGATTTTCATCCACTTATTCATGAGTACATCAAAAGGGTATTACGTGCTGACTAGTATTGAGAATAAAAGAGCAAACTGAAACATCTTTACTTTTCCAGACTCAACAAACATTTCCATGTGTTAACCTCCAAAGGGGATGGTATCCATCAGTCAAGTAAACAATAATGTTGAGAACAGAAGTGTGAGTGCGCTGATGTTGTACTTTTCCTTTTCTTTAAGGGCTTTTGAATTGATTAGTTTTCTTTTGGCCCAGAAAAGAGAAAATCTCGGTGTAGAGGGAGAATGGGATCACAGTATTTCTCTTCAGTTATCTGAAGATACTACAGATTAAAATGATATCAATTACATATAGAAAAATAGTTGGGTCTATGTTGTATAGAATCAGTGAACAGACCAGGGACGAATGGGCAGAATTTAAAGGGATTCTGATTTTGGTTTATTTCTAATAGAGCTTATCAACTGTGGACTATGTGGTCTTGGGAGCTAATAACAACAACTATAGTATTGATACTTGTTATTTTAATGTATTTTGTATATAATACTTTAAATAATTTTTTAAATGGGCGTGTCTCATTTAATCCTCATTACTAATTGTGTGTATTAGTTAGGGTACATAACATTATTCCTATTTTACAGATGAAGAAACCGAGGCTCAGAAAGATTAAGACTATTACTCAAGGTCACACAACTAAAATGGTATAAGCTGGCAATCAAATCAGTACCTATTTATTGGTCTTGAGGGAGTGCTTAAGGAAGGATTCTCTTCCTTGACTTCTTTCAGAGTGCAAAGAAGCTGTCTTTAAACAGGGAGGAATCAAATAGCAGCTCTGACTTCCAGTGAGGCAAGAGACATTTACCAAGCCAGAATCCAGTGTAGAACTATGCTCTGCAAACCAATATGGATGAGAGTGAACTATTTTATTGCCATTTCTATTTTAAGGTTGTGTTCTCTGATTTCAATGTGAAAATGTAGGTCTGGGCTGGTGGATAGCATAAAGTACACCCCTTCTTGCTCATCACAGCTATGATCATACTGTGTTTTGTGTGCACAGATGCATGTTTGTGTGCGCATATGAAAATTACTTTCCTGAGCCTGTGGACACACAGCAGTTTCACAATTTGCCTGAAACAATAAAGGTTACAATAAAAAAAAAAATGAGAGAGAGCCAGGTTTTGCCATTTCCTGCATGAAAACAAACAGCTGAGTTAATTCGTTTAATCAACTTGCCCATTTTCCCAGTAGTTTTCTTGGCATAGGGACCAGAACTTCTCTGTGAGCACAGCCTGTATGTGTGTGTGAGTGTGTGTGTGTCTGTGTGTGTGAGGACCACCCTACAGCACTGTTTTAAAACTTCCTCTTTTCTTTTATTGTTTTTCAAAGTTATGCCTGATAATTGTGGATTGTATCTGGAGGCCCACTTGCTAAAAGCACATTGAGTCATAGGCAGGCTGTAAGTCCAGGAGACCTGCAGCGGTGACTAAGAGAGTCATTATTTGATAAAAAGGGAAAAACTAGGTATTGGCTTGAAAGGAAGGCTGAGGGAGCATGAAGAACTTCTTGAACAGGGGGAAAAAAACACTTGGAAGCTAGCTGGCAGGGTGAGTGGGGACCGGAGAAAACCAGTCTTGTGCACTAGGACTTGCTGCTGCATTTTAATGACATCTCTGTGTGACTGGGTTTTTTTTTTTTTCTTCCTCTTTCTGTTTTTTCATCAAGCAAGAAAGAACACAGAGGGGATTCAGCAGAAACCTAGCTCTTTAAACTTTGCAATGTACTCTGCCCCCTTGAACATTTTCAAACTGACATCTAGAAATTTTTTATTGCAAGTTCTAATAGATGCAAACACACCTTGTAAATATTGACAGGTTAAAATTACAACACAATTAAACTCATGCCTCAGTCTTTTCACTTCTTCAATCTTATTTTTTCTAGGCTTCCCCTATGTTCTTCTGTTTTGTTTCTTAAATTCCACATATAAGTGAAATCGTATGGTATTTGTCTTTCTCTGGCTGACTTATTTCGCTTAGCATAATACCCTCTAGCTCCTGGGTAAATTCTAAATCCTGGAGTATTTTTATATCCACTGTCACCCATTAAAATAGAAATGCGCAAGTTTTCTAACAGGCATCTCACACCATTACCTTTTGTTTTTGAACCCACATTTCCACTCACTTTGCCCACCGAATTTTATCCTAATGTCATACATATTTTTATACTTGAAACTTCTCTCAATCATCGTATCATACATCTCTATGGAAAGATGTATATAAAATTAAATTTTAAACTGAAAAAAATCCCTATGACCGCAAGCTTCCCACCAGTAAAAATAAATAAGCAAAGTAAGTAACTAAGTAAATATTACACAGTGAGTAAGTGACAAAGAATTAATTAGAACCAGGGACTATGCTCCAACTTCAGGATCTTATTCACTCTGCTCTGCTGTACTCTGGGACCTTAGAGAAGAAAATGCCTACAGTCAAGGTAAGATACAAGATGCCTAATAGGTAGGACTTTCTCTTGTAAATTAGGAGAAGGGTAATTGCGAAAGTAGAGGTGAGAAAGGGGAACCAGTAGGACACTTCAACCTCAGGCATATTCATGGGACATCAGTTTTAGAGAACACTCCATATATTAAGTTAGACATTAATTCTCTTAAAACTCTCCCTGTCTGCATACCTCCTTAGAAAGTCATTGTGGACTTCTAGGGCAGGTTTCCTGAAGGGCAGATCATTAACATCTGTGCTTTATTGTAGGGGGTTGTTCTTTGCATTGTAGGGTATTTAGCAATACCCCTGGCCTCTGAGCACTGGCTGCCAGTAGTAGCCCCCTTTTCCAGTTGTGACAACCAGAAATGTCTGCAGATTATTGCCAAATGCTGGGGGGCGGGGAATCACCCCTAACTGAGCACCACTGGCCTTGTGCTATGCATACTCCAGTTTAAAGATAGCTTGTCTAGCTTGTTAGAAATGTGAACAAGGCCTCAATCAGCCAGATGTGTTATTTGTGCTTTTACTCAGGAAAAGGGCAAAATCTGGTTGTTTGCACTTAAATTCCCTTCCCGAATGAGTGGGGATTTGTTGAACCCATGGAGATAGAGAGTTGTTGAATCCATATCAAAGTTGTTGAGCTTAGATGTCCAATGATAGATGAATGTATAAAGATGTGGTTTATATATACAGTATAACTACTGTGTTATATGTAACCAATGAATTACTAAACTCTACATGTGAAACTAACAATACACTATATGTTAACTAAATTGAATTTAAATAAAAAATTTAAAAAACCAGAATAGTAAAAAAAAAAAGTTGTTGGGCTTAAGGGAGCATTGGATCTTGAGGGAAGAAAGATTTGGTTGGGAGAAGATATTTAAAGATGCCAGAGAAGGGGAAGAATGGAGATGAGGAATGAAGTCACTAACAACAGAAATCATGACAGTTGCCATTTATGTTTTGCCAGCCATTGTGCTAAGTACTTCATATGGATTATCTTGTGGAATAATCACAATAACCTAGGAGATAGTTATAATCATGTGTTAGGGTACAGGTTAAGCTGTTGTAACAAAGAGACTAAAAAACTTCAGTGACTTAGGCAAAATAGAAATGCATGTATCTCCATGAAAAGACCAGGTAGGCTGCTTAGGGTATACCATGTTGAGGATCCAGGCTGCTTCTATGCTGTTGCTCTGTTCCTGCAAGACCCAGTTTACATCTCATGGCCCTCAGCGGTAGCTGCCAATTCTCCTATCAGGTCTGTATTCCCGCCAGTGGGAAGGGTAAAAAGGAAGAGGTGAGGAAATGTACTTTTCTTTTAAGGAAACAATCTAAAAATTATACACATCATTCAGTTCACACCCTGTTGACTTGACTAAGCTACAAAGAAAATGTGGGCTTTAGCTGGGCAGCCATGTATCCAGCTATAGGAGTTGGAGAACTATAGCTTGAAGCCCAATGACTTTTTTCTTGGTAAATAAAGTTTTATTGCATACAGTGACTCCCATTCATTTATATATTATCTATGCTGCTTTCTCATGACAATGGCATTTTTCAACAGTTGTGGCAAAGACCAGATAGCCTGTAAAGCCTAAAAGCTCTGGCCTTTAAGAAAAATTTTGTCAATTCCTGCTCCAGAAGAAGGCGGAAATGGGTATTTGGGGTCTCCTAGTAGGCTTTGCCACAATTCTTGTGTGACAGATGAGGAGATGGAAGCACATAGAGGTTAAGTGAATGGCTCAAGGTGAAACACTGAGAAATGGTAAAGCTAAGATCCCAATGTGGTTCTCTTTGATGCCAAAGGCAAAAGCACTATTTATCATATCATATTGACTTATGAATTCATTCAGCAAATATTTATTGTGTCCACTCAGCATCAGGAAATGTTCTAGGTGTTTGGGATTCGGTGGTGAATAAAAGAGAGGAAATTGATACTCTTCTAAAGCCTACATTAAATGAGACAGACTATTAGGAAGGAGTTAAACAAAATATATTCTATGTTAGAGGCAATAGGGGCTATAAATAAAAAGTAAATCAGGAAAGAAGGGAAGGCAGTGATAGAGTTGGGGGTAAGGATTCATTTAAGAAAGTAGTTAAAGATGGCTGCAATATTGGAGAAATTAAGGAGAATGATTTTGGGCCATAGCTCTTGAGGAACAGGTGGGAAGCTGGACTGAGAACACTCAGGAAAAGCCCTGAGTTTTCCTTCAAAGGAAGCTGGGCAGGAACTGGAGCCAAAGGAGCCAAGAAAGTATGGGTGTCCATGGCTTAGGTGTGGTGGGTACCTGGTGCAAAGTAGATGTATCAGAAGAAGTCTGGTTTAAAGGTATTAGATCATGGTGGAGCATTTGCCTTTAATCCTTTTCAACAGAATTCCAAAAACCTTTCACATAGAGACAAAAATGAACACATGTACACATGAATGTGTAAATAATAGCAGGCAGTAGAGTTGGTTCATATGGTGGAAAGACCATAAATGTTGGAGGCACATGGAACCATGAATGTCAGCTCATGCTTGATGGCTTCAGGTAAATTGTTATTCGTACTATTATTAGCCATGATTTAGTGACCATTTTCTATGTGGCAGGGACTTTATATTCATAATCTCATCTAATCCTTACATAACTCTATAAATAGATATGAGAGTTATTGTCAATTATTTTTAAGTTAAATTAAGTGGTGATAGGTAGCAGTTAAGAAGTAATGAGAGCTGTACAATTTCCTCCCATGCATGTCTATTGCTTTATCTTATTTAAGTATAGTGATTAGTAATGTTGGTTAATGCTTCTGTGGGGCTGTTTTCACAAAGAATTTTATTTTGTAAAGAAAAAATTTTAATGTTTATTTAGTGCTTACTATGTGTCAGGGACTGTTTTAATTACATGTATTTACTTTTCAAAACAATACTGTGAAGAGTTACTATTAACCTCGTTTTTTTGGATGAGAAACTTAGGCCCAGGGAACCTAAGTAACTTGCCCAAGGTCACACAGCCAGTAAATGGAGAGGCTGGGAGATGATCCTAGGCAGTCTGGCACTGGCATTCCCATGTTTAATCATTATACTACACTGCCTAACAAAACAGACCAATGAAACAACTGAATGAGAAAAACATGCTAATTTATCTTCCACTGCCCATGATGTATATGGAAAGCCTGGTTATTTGGGCCTTGTGATCTAACCCGTGGCCACTGCTACCTGCCTAATGCCAGCATATCTGAATTGTAGGCAAAGACCCATGGAGAAAATATTTCACTTCTAGAAGACTGCTCTGGGAAAACCAAATTTTAAAAGTGATGGAAAAGATGATAGCATGTGTGACTATCTATACCTGACTGTGTAGCTCCAGATGGATGTGTGTGTGTGTGTGTGTGTGCATTCAGATGTGTGCACATGAGTCTAACCCACAGTTTCAGATGGCAGTTACTGGGCTTTCTTCCCAGTAGCCTAAAATCTGGTCTTTTATGTGGCAAGATAAAAAAGTAAGAAATCTTTATTCTGTTTTAGAATGTAAGCCTGTTTTTCCAGAATCTGCTTTCTCCAGAAACTACCATTCTGCAATTTCATGGATGTCACTACCAAACAAGCATGGATGGCCCTGTACCATCAATGGAATGGTTCTTTGCCTCAGTCCTGGCATTTCAGCTCCCATTTTCATGCTCTGGTGAAGAAGGTCATAAATATGATTTGCTATCTGGCTTGTCATTTCTTTGAATTGTCAACATTTAGTAAGGATTTCCCTTGGGAATTTCTTCTGTCCAAAATGGCACCAAGGATGCCAAGCATGGGCTTTACACGCCTCCTTTAAATGTGAATTTGGACAATAAAAAAAATTTTAAAAAAAATGTGAATTTGGGGGTCTTGACCTGCTACCAGTATGGTTGTGTTCTGGATTATTCCCTAAAGGATGGGTATAAATTTTCACTGAGCCATTCCTTCTACCATTTAGTCTCCTCATTCTATTTCACCCCTGACTAAATGACAGGTTCAACTGATTTCAATAAAACAGCTTTTCTGAGGGCAAATTTAACTGGCTACCATGAGAACCAATCCCCAAGAAATGCCCTCATCAGTGCGGAAATCATTGGACTATGTAGGAAATCTTAGTGGCTGATGGATCTGATATAACAGGCTGGAGAAACTGACACTTCCCCAGAAACTTCTGACTTCTGTGGGGCCAGGAAATACCACTATGACGGTGACTGAGTTCATCATACTAGGGTTTGAGACCTCAAGGAATTGGGTCTCTTGCTCTTCCTGGTGTTTGGCATTGTCTACCTAGCCACCATATCTGGGAATCCTCTTCTCATGGCCCTGGTGAGCACTCATTGGAGACTCCAGACACCAATGTACTTCTTTCTGGCGAACCTCTCATGCCTGGAGGTCTGTTATACATCCAACATTGTGCCCAGGATGCTGGTGGACTTGTTGAGAAAGAACAGAGTGATATCCATGGCAGGTTGTGTTATGCAGCTCTACTTTGGGGCTCTGGGCAGCACTGAATGCTATCTTCTGGCAGTGATGTCATATGACCGCTACCTGGTTGTCTGCCAGCCCTTGCACTATCCAGCACTGATGCATGGGACCATATGTGTGTGGCTAGTAATTGGTTCTTGGTTTAGTGGCTTCACAGTGGCAGCTGCATTCCAGGCTGCTATGGTAACCAGTTTGACCTTCTGTGGTGGCAATGAGATTGACCATTTCTTCTGTGACTTGAAACCTCTGCAGAAGCTCTCCTGCTCAGATCCCCGACTGGTCAACCTAGTCTGCATGAGTCTAACAGTGCTGGTGACTTTGGCCCCCTTTGGACTAACCCTAACCTCCTACTGGAAGATTCTTTCCATGGTCTTGCATATGCCTTCCATGACTGGTAGGCAGAAGGCATTCTCTACATGTTCTTCTCATCTAGTGATTGTGACCTTGTTTTATGGGACCTTGATCCTGGTATATGCTGTGCCCTTGGCTGGTCAGGTGCCAGTTCTCAACAAAACCTTCTCCTTGCTCTATACTGTTGTCACTCCCATGTGTAACCCCCTTATCTATAGCCTCAAAAACAAAGATGTCAAGGAGGCCCTGAGGAAGCCGAGGATTTGATCCTACAATGATGAGTTCCATTCAATCGACAAAAATGATGCAGTCTGAAGGTTAAGGCACTGTCTGTCATCATCCTCAGGGAACTCTTAGCCTGATTAGGAAAGCATAGGATAGATTATAATATTTATAAGGTAAAATATCACTCAGAATTTGTTTTTTTTTTACATTATAGACTAAATAATTCTTGAAAGCACTGTCTATAAAGAGAATCTCTGCATATAAAATCCCAATATTCTTATTTCCCTTAATTTTAAAAGTAATTATATAATTAATATGAAATAACCTAATGTAAAGACCTAACAAAGCATTTAGTAGGACATATGAACAAACACAAAGCTCAGAATGTCCCTTGCTTAGTTAGCTAAATTTGCCCCATTTTTTCCTTTAAGTCATCTATTTAGCTGATTTGGGGGAAGAGTTAGTAGATTTGTCTTGGTGTCCTTGAAATTATCTAGTTTTCCTTGAGCATATTTGTACTGTGAGAGGGGAGGAGAACCTCCTAGGAGTGGAACTATTCTGGTATAAAAAATAAATAGTTGCTGCATATAATCACCCCAAAAAGCTCAATCCTGAAAGTAGGTATTGGCAAGTGTGCTTTAGTTGTCTTCAATTTCCTGTGTGTGTGTGTGTGTGTGTGTGTGTGTGTGTGTGTGTGTGTGTGTTTTATAAACGAGACTGGGAGATTTGGGATTGGAAGAGAAGGAGTGATAACTGTGCTATCCCCATAAGATTAAAAAAGATAAAGGTGGAATCTAATAAAATATGTAGAAACCCCCTAGAAGACTAGTTTTAGAGAAATGTGCATTAAACACGATTTGTTAGACATGTGGATTGCCTCAAGCCATTCTTTTTAAAGTTGATTTTTCTCTAGAATTTACAGCTACCCACTGTGTTTTTGTTCTGTTCTTTCTGCTCCCCTCCCAGATCTTCCTTCTGTTGTGTACCTGAGTTTGCCTTGCTGGCCTCACTTGTGCTTTTGTTTCTTATTTTTGTATCCGTTGCCAGCTACTTAACATTATCAACCGGTATATTCAAGCTACACTTCAAGAGAGAGGGAAAGCAAAAAGATTCTGCTGTGATAAGGGAGAGAATACATGTATTTGCTTATTGAATAAAAAGTATTTATTGAATATTTATTGAATGAAACATATTTATTGAAAAAATATTTACTGAGAGCCTAATATTATCCAGGCATTGATTGTGGTAGTGCTAGGAATAGAATAGTGAACAATATAGATACAGCTTCTGACCTCAAAGATATTATAGCCTTGGTGACCTTGGTGTTCAAATCGCTCAGAATTTATGTTTTTTTACATTATAGACTACATAATCCTTGAAAGCACTGTCTATAAAGAGAATCTCTGCATATAAAATCCCAATATTCTTATTTCCCTTAATTTTAAAAGTAATTATATAATTAATATGAAATAACCTAATGTAAAGACCTAACAAAGCATTTAGTAGGACATATGAACAAACACAAATGCTCAGAATGTCACTTGCTTAGTTTGCTAAATTTGCCCCATTTTTTCCTTTAAGAACCAACTCAAGTCCTACCTTCTCTCTCCCTGACCTGTTCATGTCATTTTTTCCCCTGAGAAATTGTTTATTTTTCATTTGACAAGTAGCATTCACTGCTCTTTATGTTTTATGTATATACCCTATCTTTCTAGTGAGATTATAAATCCTTCAAGGACAGAGACAGAAAGTCCTTTCTAGCCGTACACTCAAGTACCCAGCATAGTGCACTACATGCAGCAGACCTATCTTCAAAGGATAAAATCTGAGCTTGTCAGCATGGAAATCAAGGTCTTCCATGACCCTGCTTCTGCCTCCCTCCCCACTCTCATCTCCCACCAGGCTCCATCTCAGTTTACCATATCACACCTCTGCATCATTACTCATGCCCTTTGCCTGGAAGATCCTGCCCATATTTGTTTCTCACCTAGCTAATGCCCCTTCATATTTCGCATGCATTATTATCCTCACTAGAAAGACTTACCTGATCATTTTCTTCCATCCAACACATTGAATGAAGGGATACTCTCCTGAATCTCCATGGACTCACTGTGGACTTATGTTTTAGCAGTAATCACATTATCTGGTGGTTTGCCACTGCATCTTCAGTGCCTAGAAGAACGCTTGGCATAGGAGACACCCAAGGAATACTTGCTGAGTGACTAGCTGAATGGTTATATGTCTTCCTTCCCTAGTAGATTATTATTTCCTTCACCTCAAGTACCACCTATATACTGATGATTCCTCCATAATTTGATGCTATGACAAATGCTGTGAAGGAAAACCAGTCTGCTGGGAAGGCATACAACAAGGATAACTAATTTGGATTGGGTTGGAAGTATCATAAAAGACTTCTCTGAAGATATGGCATTTGAACAGAGACCAGAAAGATGAGTAGGAATAAACCAGGCAAAGATAGGTTATAAGGTGGGGTAGGGGAGGGAAGGATTTCAAAAGAGAGATTAGCCCACAGCAAGGTCCTGCAGTGATAACTGATAAATATAACCAGTATACTGGTCTGAAACTCAGAAGAGATATCTGGGCTAGAAATACGAATTTAGAAGCCATCAGCATTTGTAGCCTCAACTGCATCCTCTTGCCAAAGCTGGCATTATAGATGGCATTTAAAAGCCTGGAAATGGGTGAAATCATGTAGAGAAGCAGTTTAGAAGAAGAGAACTCAGAATGGAGCCCTGGGAATTCCACCATTTAGAGGTCACATAGAGGAAGAACAACCCGTAAAAAAGACTGAGGAGGGATAGATAAGAGAAAATCCACACATGCAAGTAGAAGGAAGAGAAATTCTTTTTTTTAATTTTTTATTGTTATGTTAATCATCATATATAGAAATTCTTTTTTTGAGAAAAGAATTGTTTAGGGAGGAAAGGCTGGTAAACTATACTAAAGGCTGCTGAGAGGAGGAGCAAGCTGAGGACAGAAAAGAGTCCATTGTATCTGATAACATGGAGTATACTGATGACTCACTTACAGAACTTTTGGTAGAGCAATGGGTGCAGAAGCCACACTGGAGTGAGAAACAGGAGTGAATAAAAAGTGTAGATAACACTATGTGTAGATAGTTCTTTGGAGAAGACTGGCTCTGAAAAGAAATAGATTTGGTAAGGGCTGGAACAGAAAGCTTAAGGGAAGATGTTTATTCTTACAATGTGAAAGAATAGAAAATGTTTGAATACCATTAGGAAGAAGAATTGATTAGAAATGGAGAAATTGAAGATGCAGGAGACCATGGGGATACAGCATTTTATGGCCCCTGCAAAGGTTGGAAGGCCCAAGGTCCAGAGCACATGAGAAGGGAGTAGCCCCTGATCAAAGGAATGACACTTATACTGTGACAAATACGTATGGAATACCTACTGTGTGCTTGATTTTGTTTCAAGTACTAGGGTTATGACAATGAAGAAAGCATCATCTCTGCCTTCATGGAGCTCACAGTTTGGTGAAAAAGACATACAAGTAAACAGACAATTATAATCAGGTTGATTAATGCTCTGACAATTACAGGATCCTATGTCAGTACTGGGGAGAGTCATTGTTATGGGTTGAATTTTGTCCCCCAAAGAAAGATGTATTTTGGAGTCCTAATACCCAGTACCTCAGCATGTGACCTTATTTGGATAGGGTCTTAATAAAGGTACCCAAGTTAAAATGAGGTCATTAAGGTAGGTACCAATTTAATACGACTGGTGTCCTTATAAAAAGGGGAAATTTAGACACAAAGACACACGCAGGAAGAATTCCATGTGAAGATGGAGGCAGAGATTGGAATGCTATGTCTGCAAGCCAAGACACACCAAAGATTGCCAGCAAACCACCAGAAGCTAGGAGAGAGACATGGGACAGATTCTTCCTCATTGCCCTCAGAAGAAATCAATGCTGACTCGATCCTGGACTTCTGGCCTCCAGAACTGTGAGGAAGTAAACTTTTGTTGTTTAGATTACTCGGTTTGTGGTACTTTATTATGGCAGGCCTAGCAAACTCATACAGGCATCCAAACCAGTCTGAGGGAGGGGGTTTGGTCAGGTTAAGGGAAGACTTCCCAGTGGAGGTGTTATTTGAGCCAAGACAAGATAAATAAGCAGGATTGCATGGATGGGGCCTGGAGAGACCATTTTATGTAAAGTGACCATCACCTGCAGTGGTTTGGAAGTGAAAGAGATTTTTTTGGACATTTATACGTGTCCAAACTATTGCAAGTAATCCAGTGTGGCTGCATGTGGACTGTGTGGGCAAGGTGGGGACAACTGAGACCCGAGAAGCTGGAGCCAGTTCATGAAGGACCTCTATTCCAGGACACAGAATTTGGATTTTATCCTGAAGCCAAGTGACTGGCCTTTAAATATTCATTCCCCTCCTCACTATTCACCTGCCTAAATCCTTTTTTTTTTTTTTTCCCCAGGAAGCCTTCTCTTACATCTACTATGGAACTTTTCACACACAAATATGAAAAAGAACTTCCTTCTTATCTCCTCAAACATGCAGTGAGCTCCTTGAGAGAAGAAGCTATGTCCTGTTTACTGAGATATATGCCCAGTGCCTGGCAAGTGCTTGGCATATAGTAGTCTCTCAAGAAATGGCTGTCTGGTGTGTTCCTGGGGAAGTATTGGGACTCCCTGGTTCTCTTTGGAGTGATATTCAGCACACTCCATATTTCGCTTTTCCTCTTCTCTCTTCTTCCTTCCTGTCACTGATGACCCAGCACCCTCCACCCTTGGCTCTCATTTCATTTCTCTACTTGGTTTTCTCTTTGATCAAGGACTCTGGGAGCTCCCAGTACGCTTCCTCCCACCCAAAATTGTCAGTCCCCACATCGGGCAGCCTCTCATGCCTTCAGGTTCTCACTGTCCCCAAAGGAGCCTGGTTTACGTTGTGCAAAATCCTGCAGTCCAATCTTGTCACCTTGCTTCTGCCCCTGGTTCTGCCAGGACTAGTGCTTAACTTGGTCTAAGCAGGGTCATTAGGT